CTCATGATTCTATTTAAATTTGCAAAAATCGTCAAGAGAAATGAACTGATGCAAAGATTATTTATTTCCCCGCAAGAATGAAAAGCAGGAAATGGAGCAACAGACAAAAACAAAAAGAAAACCGAGCACCATAAGTTATATATATATGCAGATGAGAAATGGAAGAGCAGCGATACAGGGGAAAAAAATTGAGATAAACAGTGGAGACAGAAATACAGAAACCATATTTGTCTTTGTCCCAATCCAAAAAAGGAAAAACTATGAGAGTGAGAGGATCATCAGAATGCTGCAAACATCAGTGGAAAAAGAGAGTACGGATCCAGGATTATAAGGTTCTGTAAAGCTGTCTCCGTGATTTTATGCAGCCAGCATAATTTAGCAAAATCTGATAATTTTTTGCATAATTTCTGATTATTTTCCTTTACCATTCTTTGTTAAAGTTAACAGAATAGCATAATTTCACATTTTTGGGCTCACTTTGCATAATTTCATAATTTTTCTTGCATAATACGACGGGGACAGGTCAAGATTTAACGTCCATCACCAACAGAACCAAGCCAAATAGGTTGCGAGTCTGAGAGCCTTGAAAACTCTACAAAACTACACCAGTCTGATTGGAAAGAAGGAGCAAACCACACCAGAGCACCCCCCTAACTACCCACAATTTCTTCCGTATTAAATATCTTCTCAACCACATCTCTCAAAAACCCAACAAACTCCTCAGAGCAGAAAATAAGCCGCGTCAGTATTTAACCCTATCCGTACGCCCTGGGGTCATTTTGTACCCCCGGGGTAGTATTCTTCACATTTTAAAATACTTCTAGAATGAAGATCTCTTTGAAAGTTTCAGTAGTATTTCTCAATATATTTTGACAGACAGCTATGCAAAGCGTACGGATCGGATTAACGAGTAAATTTCCTCTGTGGAAAGTGGTGGCACAGAGTTCCCCACGTCGAAAGGATACGACAGTAAAACACGATGTACGGATAGGGTTAAGTGGTGGCACAGAGTTCCCCACGTCGTAAGGATACGACAGTAAAACACGACGTACGGATAGGGTTAAAACCAACAAATAATATCCCCACACATGAATATCAAAGTCAGATAACAACAAAAGAAGCAACATAGGAATAGGAAGCGCTAGAGCAAAGTGACCACTGCGAGAAGCTCACCACACACGCCCGCCATCTCTCTGTACAAATAAAATGTCACAAAATAAAAGCATGGGACAAACAAACAACGCAAGTACGCTGCCATAAAAGCTGACAAAACGCCTTTTTTTTCTTTTTGACGCCAAAAATTTTTATTTGCTAAATCGAAAGCCTGATCAGTAACCCTACTTGTGTGAAAAAAATCAAAAGGGAAACTGTGACTAGTTTTTCAACAAATATTAGAAATCAAATTTCGGAAGCACTCAATTTTTCCATGGTTATGCTGAGAGAAAAAAAAAACTCTTTTTCTTGAAACTGCTTGGAATATTCTTTAAAAAGGCGTCTTGTCAGTTTACGGCAGTATACTCATGATGTCAAATATCTCCAGAAAAACTTGTGCCCAAAGAGATGTAGGCATGATACACACATGACCATTCTTCATGAAGACAATGAGATAGTTCAGATAGTAAAGAAAATAACAAGGAGTACTTTGGAGCATCAGCTGAGGCTATATTTACTGCTGAGGGGGCCGTCAGTTTATGAAGTTGGCCTGTACCCTGTAGGTATGACACTCCAATCCCACTGAGGTGACTATTTGCCCACTCTCCCCAGAGTATACTTAATTGTCTCCACACAGAACCCTCCACATAGATTCTATCAAAATGACTTACGAGTACTCTGTCTCTGTCTGGACCCTGAGTCAACAAAAATAAATTGAGGCTACTGAAGAAGCAAACCTCCACTGACCTCTTGAAGGTCTTGTAATAAAAAATAGTTTAAAAACCCAACATCGTAGAGCCACAGCTTTATTTTATTTTACTCGTATTGAAGTTTCGAACCATACTTTTTACCGTCATTCACAGATTTTGACGCTACAAAATACTAGTAAAACATTGGGGAAAAGATGGGACTAGAAAAGACGAAGATGAATGTTTCAAAGATTGAAACAAAAAGATTTCACAGTATACATATATATGCATGATATATATATATATAAGAACCCTTTTCAGGCTGCGCAGTTAACAAAACCAGAGTTCGCACAAACAAACAAATGCAAAAAGTTATGATTTTTTTCCCCCCATTCAGAAAAGACAAGACGGTTTCCAGGATGTTTGCATTTACAAACCAACAATTCATCAAGACTAGAGAAAACATGTCAGCACAAATACAGCAGAGGAAAGACAGCACAGTCCACTTAAATTTGAAATCTGAGAGACCATCAGATTTTCCGCGACTTACCCATGATTTCGCTATAAAGAGATTTCTCATACAGTGAAGAAAAAAATATCAGATTTTCCATTTCCTTTGCTTCTTTTATCCTGTGATATTTTGAGGGAACAAGATTCTAAAAATCGGAAGGAAAAAAAAATGGAAAGAAAATAATATAAACATAGTGAACTAGAATTTCATAAAAACGCTACAATATATTACACAGACCAACATATATGACAAAGTCCTGGAAATTTGGCGCAGGGCCACTTTCCTAGCCTGGTTCGAGTTTTCTGGCATTCATAACACAATCAAGTCACACAAATACAAAGAAAAGAAAAGGGAGAAATTAAATGTCTGATTTTGATAGAAAAGAAGAAGAAAACCACACTTGAGAACCCACCATGAACCATTAATTGTTCACGGTTTGAGCATGCACATGAGGAAAATCACTCGATTTCATGACATTCGACTGTAATGATCCCCCCAAATTCCTTTAAAGCACTCCACATCAAAGCCTGGCATTTTTGGAGGTCACACTTTAACTTTTTTAAAAAGTTTTTACGTAAGTGAGCCTGTGGCCAAACTTTACCTAGGCTACATAATTGCTACAGTTTCGGAAAGATTGATGCTGTTTGTGTGTGTGTGTGTGTGTGTGTGTGTGTGTGTGTGTGTGTGTGTACATATGAGGGTGTGCTACAGGCCGATACATCCAAAAAACAACACACTTTGTCAAAATAATTACTTGCCTATAACCTCGACAGGTATACAAACACTCAAATACAGGCATGACAATGGCAAGATGAAACTTTCCTTTAAAACAAGAAAAAGACAAAAACCATTGAATTTAAGACAACCATTGTAGTCTCACACAAGACAGAAAAAAGTCTTCCCCCGTTGTTTCAGGCCATTTTGCCAGTCAGCTGCACAGTCAGGTCAGTGATGGGGGGTGTCTCTACGACTAAGGGGGGTGGGGGAGATAAGGACCATAGGTGTTTGATAGGAAAGAAGGAGCAAACCACACCAGAGCACCTGCCAACCACCCACCCAAAATTTAAGCTTGAGAACCATTCCAACACAGCAGGACACCTAATGCTTCCTCAGACGAATATTGTATGTAGAAACAAACACTTTATAAACTATTTATTTTCAACAATGAAGACCAACCAATCACACAAAACAGTCAGGGACAAAAAGGAAGCTTCCAGTACGTCAAGTCTTCAAGGCAAGACAGAAACTGGACCCCCCCCCCCCCCCCCACAGACATTTTAAGAGAGGAGTAATCCACTCACATGTACACCACTGCCAGATAGGAATCAGAAGAAGATACAACTATAAACACTCAAATACATCACAAAATGGGAGGCAGCGGGGTGAAATCAGGCGCTCGTCAAAATAATGAAATCAAAGAAATCTGCGTTTTTCGGCCAGATTGGAATTTTTCCCAAACTTTTGCTGTTTGGCTCAACACCTTGTATGTTCATTGAGAAACACTTTTAGGTGTGGATTTGGAGGAAAAGCATTCATTAAAGGCACAAAAAAAGTAAATTTCCAGCTTCCAAGGACTACTGAGCTATGGAAGTCACCAAACTTTGGCGGCCATTTTCTCGTTAATTTTATTCTGAAACAAGGCGACCCCACCTCCTTCGATCGCAAGTGTCTCGACTTCTATTCAAGATAAATGAATATATTTTTTCATCAAAAGCAAGACAAATGAACAACCTTTCAGATGATACCAATAATACCACAAGCCCAAAAATTGACGAACGTCTGATTCCACTGCGTCGTGACACATATGATTACCGTGAATACAATCTACGCAAGACAGGACTCACAGCTACATTAAATATGATTCAACTCGAGTAATACAATGCAGTGACAACAACAACGTTCAATTAAAGAAATCTCAGACAGCGAGTTTTTTATGATGTTAAATGCTGGACCCAAGATTACACACTCAAAAACATTCCTTTCTTCAACACCATCATTTACACAGCACAGAAAAATTTGTGCCTCACAAAAAAAAAAACGTTCAAAAGTGTTAAAAAATTGTACACGCAGAACAACCATGACGACATGATTTTGGGTTGATGGGAAAATAAAAATGAAAATCTTATGTACAAGGATGGACATGTTAATAATCATTGTTAAAAAACTCAAACCACAAAAATCTTCAAGAAAGCTACTGCTGGTTATGAATAATGTTACAGCTCTTTCAATCAAACTATGGCAAAGTGAAAATCGAATCCATATTTGAAACAAGTCTTCATTTACAGGTTCAAGGACGACACATATTACACAAGTAAAATAATTTTTTAACCTAAAATAAACCAAAAATTCAATACGTTATGAACATTTCAACTTTCAAGAACGAGGAGGCAAGTGCAAACTTGACCCTCCAAAACCACACAACAACTAGTTATCAGCACCCATCCATTGCAAGTTGACACATATCTTCCAAACATCAAAATTTTAAATTTTAAAAAAGGCTAAAAGAACCTTTTAAAGTGAGCAATGCATCTTTCACAATTCACTGCAGTATTTGGATGAAGAGGAACTCACTCTTGTAAAAGTATGAAAATAGTTGTAGTGAACTTTGCTTAAAATCAATTTTTGATCAAACGATTTATCGGATATAATTTATTTTTTTTCATCCCCAGACCACACAGAAAAGAAGGCTGGGAACTGACAAAGTTTTGTGGTTAAAGTTACAAAGCAAAAGATTACTCTTCTACCTCGTGGCATCATCTTAAGCAAAGATCACCGTAAAATGTGTGTGTGCAGCGTTCAGGTTATAATTTACCGACCCCTCCTCTTTTTGTCTGCCTTCCCAGACGCTGAGGCGGGGCCGTCTGTGGAATCACCTCCGCGGGACTTTGACTTCCTGGGCGTGTACTCCGGCGCCTCGTCACTCTCGTCGTCCGCGTCGCTGTCATCTCCCCTTTTTCTCTTGACCGCGCTCGACTTTTTGGAGGACCGTCCCGACGACGGGGTGCTGGCCTCGGCCTTAGCCCCGCGAGACTTTTTCGGAGATTCTTTGGAGCTGGACAAATTCTCCAGGGCGGTGATGTTGACCTTGAGCGTGCTGATGCTCTGTCCCTCTTTCATGATTTTCGTCTTGATGCTCTTTGGTGTAGCCTTCTCCGCCGCGGCTGGTTTGGCCTGGCGACCTCGGGACTTGGACTTGACGGGGGTGTACTCTGGCTCCTCCTCTTCCTCCTCCTCCTCCTCCTCCTCGTCTGTGAGAGGTGAGGGCGCACGTTTCCTCCCCGGGGATTTCTTGCTCTTCGCCGCAGGCTTCTTGCCCGGCTTCTTCGCTTTCACCTCTACTTCTTCTTCTTCATCGGTCAGAGGCGAGGGGGCCCTTTTCTTCGACCCCGTTGCTCTCCCCCTGCCTCCTCTTCCTCCAGAACTTGCAGCCGACTTGTTCTTTCTTTTGTTCTTCCTCGACACCACCACCTCCTCCTCCTCCTCGTCCTCCGACTCTTCGTACGACTTCACCCTGCTCTTCCGGGCCCTCCCTTTGGCACCAGCGGGTCGACCCCTACCAGACGCTGCCTTGAGGCGCGATGGCGAGGTGATGATCTCCATGGTCTTGACCTTGGGCATGCCGCGTGACTTAGTGCCCCGCGGTACGTACACGGGCACCTCCCCGTCCTCGTTGTCCTCTTCCTCATCCTCCGAGTCGTCCTCCCCCGCCAACACGCTGGGAGATGGAATGAACGGCGCTGTCAACTGGAACGATCCGTTGGCACCCAGACCGCTGACCTGGCTGTTGAGAGAAAAAAAACATATAAATAATTGTTTATGCTTTTATCAAAGAGAAGCTCTACAAAAGTCTATGACAGTCAAAAAGTCAAAGAGAAACAGATGGAAACAACAGAACAGAGGAAGAAGAAGAACTTGCCCATGTCATCTTCTAATTGTCAACAAAAGCAGTTTTGTTTTCTCTATGTTGACTTTTAGAACAAGTTTTACAGGGGTTTTTTAAAACCTGACAGATTTTTCAGATATAGAGTTCCAGCATTATAAATATACTATCCTGAAAAACATGTTCTTCAACTTTATTTCAATTGGTCAATTGAAAGAGACATTTTAACATCTAGATATAAATCCAAATTGTTCCATAATTTTGTTAAACAGATGGAAAAGGCCCTTTCACCCACCATTGTTCTGGACCTAGGCATGCAGAGCTGATGTCATATACAGCTTTTATACTCTTCATCTCCGGAAGGCTGCTCCCCGCAGCTCAGGCGCAATCCTTTACGACTTCGACATCAAATTACTTTTCGGCAATTGCCGAGAACAATAAATCATTCATTAGATCAAGAGCTATCGAAATAGGTTCACCTATTTTTATCTAATGACCAGTTTAGTGACCAATATGTCAATTTAACATTTCGTACCAAAATAGGGCCCCGGCATGGTCGGTTTACCCCCCACGAAGATAAAAAGTTCAAACCAACTAAACTTACACAATCATACTCTTGGCCACAGCTCGGATCAAAGCCTTCTTGAACTTGTCCGGCCTCACGTCCACCTGGAACTCTGGGTGATAGCTGGACACGTACTTCTTGATCTGATTGGCCGAGGCTGCCTTCGGCTCGTGGCACGCGATGATCGCAGCACAAATTTGATCTTCTATTTGATCCGCTGCAAAACAGAAAAAAAAAAAACCATTATAAAAAAAGAATTTATCTCCAAGATCTGTTCACCTCAACGTCAACCGTCAAGGTTGGTTCTCACTCCCTTCCATTCCAACAGTTTTTTGGGTTTTTTTTGCTCCTTTTATAATCCCCACTTAGCTCTTAGGAAAAACAGAGAACAAAAAAATAAATAAATAAAATACGGGAAGACCTCCTGCACTGTACATTGACAATTCAGAGAGAGAGACAGACAGGGAAAGGGGGGATCACTACTGGAACTATATTCTTTGCAAGAACTTTACATTTAGCATTTTCGTACTGGAAATGCGCTACATGAACATAAACATGTGTTTCAATACTATCACCATTAACACTCACATGAAGGGTCGAAGTCATCCATCAACAGATGCAGCCTGCCGCTGATCCCAGAGCCTGAGATGTGCTCCCAGTAGCCTTTGTCCACTCCTCGGTCAATGGCCTGCCTCCATCTGGACAGAAACAATCAAGCACAGTTGGATAATTACCATGGGAGGTCAAAACAACAATTACAACAGCCTTATAAAATGAACATCTCACCGTCCAGCGACAGATCTGTATAGTGAAGTGATAGGGATGCAGTCTTCTACATCATAATTGATGACGTAATTAACGATACTTATGCTACATACAGAACCAGCACAAAATATTACAACTTGAACACAAAACAAGTACACAGCATTGTAGAACTAACTTTCTCAAATGTATTCTAAGAAGCAACCATTCCCCATAGTCACAAGAAGAGACTCGGAGAACTTTATTATTATCCAACATGAACCCTCCCAGAAACACCGCAGCACTTAACACGACAAGGACAGCTGAACACTCCTCTCTGGAAGCTATTTTACAAAACATACAATGGCATCATTCATCAAAGTAAAGCAGCAACCCTCAACTCAACTTAAACCTTTACACATCTCTTCCCCCCCCCCCCACCCCCACCCCCCTCTCTTTAAGAAACACAGATTAACGAACCAACAAACACACATTTTTATTTCTAACATTTTCATTTCTAAAACAAGCTCTTTCCTCAAGAAAACAAAAATGCACAACAACTGATCCCACAATTCAACTGTTGCTCCTGCGCAGACTCTCAGACAGAAGTAAGTGGGTGGTTGGCGGGTGCTCTGATGTGGTTTGCTTTTTCTTTCCTATCAAACATCTATCGTCCTTATCTCCCTTTCTTCTTTTCTATGTTTGTTACTCTCTTGTAACACCTCTAATCTTCCGGCACTCATATGACCTTATGCAGTTGCGAGCGCCGTAAAACCTCTACTAAAACTAAACTAAGACAGAAGTACCTGTGATCCGACACGGCGTCCCCGTACTTCTCCGTGATGTACTTCCTTATGCGCGGGATGGACGCAGTCTTAGGCGCTGACTGGTAGGTGATTGCCAGGGGAAACGTGTCTTCAATTTTCTGCGGGCTCCCATGGGACAGCTGGGAATAGCTCACAGCTTGAGGCTTTCCTGGACAAAGGGAGATTAACAGAACAAAGTTTGAGTGCTTGTTTGTGGTGTCGTATCCTCTGAGAAATACCATCTTTAACACCAAACAATTTGGCAGTCTCTCATGCACAAATCTTTATTAGTCTCATAAACATCACACTTGCCTAGCAGCAAAAGAAAATATCAGATTGGTCCCAGTCTATTTGCTTTTCAAAAGAGAACTTAAATATAAGCACACATCATTAACACTATCCACCCACGCAGCGCGCAGAGTGTGCAAGACTTATCCCCACGGACCAGGACACAGGAGCTGTACATGCTATATCGTACCGTCGCCCATCGGCGTCCCGTGGGGAAAAGGTGTGGCTTCTTACCATCTCCGATCGGCGTCCCATGGGGAAAAGGTGCGGCTTCTTACCATCTCCGATCGGCGCCCCGGGCGGGCAAAGCGTTAAGATTTATCAATGAAAAAACTTGAAAGTTGTGCCAACATCTCTACATTTTTCTCAAATCAAAAATATTTCTGTTCAAAACAGTAGGTTATCAAATTCTCAAAGTAGCCCAGCCTTGATTATTTCCATTCACAACACTGGAGCTTTTTTCATAAAAACACTGAAATTCTCAAATTGAGCTTTAAAATAAACTTTCTTCAAGATCCCAAAAGAAAGAATCCTATCCACAAAAGACACACACCTTTTAAAGCTTAACTTTGAGCAAATATAAAGCTTGTTCAGTAAAGTTTCAAGAATCAAGAACAAAACCATAGCTGCCACAAGAAAAATGAGTGACCCCAGCTTTTAAAAAAATCATCCTGTAAAAGAAATGTCATACACAGACTCTCGCTCTCTTTCCTTGCAACAGCAACAAAAACTAAAGCATTCACTCACTGGGCTTCTGGGGTTTCTTTTTCGCTGCGCCTTCTTCCTCCTTCTTATCCCCGTTCTCCACAGACTCGTCTTTTCCGTCCTGGCTCTTCTCGTCCTTCTCTTCCCCTTCTTTCTGCTGCTCGGCTTCTCCATCATCTGTCGACGGAGCTGCTTCTTCCTGTCCAACAAAACCAGAAAAATCTACTTGAAATTTCTGTAGACTACTTAAGACTGGTGACGCATCTCATGAGAGAAGCCTGTCAAAATTGTAATCTGTATTCTACAACCTTTGTAGATACAATAAAATCTCAGCATACTGTACCATACTCTGTTTAAAACATACTTTGTAACTAGATTGTACTGAAAGACCTTCCTTTCCAGGCTTGCAAAACTCATGCAAGTGAAAAAAAAAGTACATGTATATGTTTAAACCAACAGCATTCAAGTACACGATCACAGCAATGATTTTAATCATGATAAAACAAAAAGATGCAACTTTTTCCTTCACCCAATATCTAATATAAAAACCTGACCTGAACTTTCACTACAAACAAGAACAGTCCAACTTGCTCTTACAGCCACCTGCCCATGACAATCACCTGTACAAACAACCACACCCCACTTCTCCCTTTGCATTTTTGTACTACTTAGAACATGTGAGGCGTCCTGACAAAATGAGTTACTTCTCGCAATCCAAGAACATAGGTGTCGGCCGAAAACTGACACTGGGGTCAGATTGACAGATTTCCAATTGATGCCATTTTTTTCTCTCAAGTCTGCTGTGTCTTTTATTATTCCATAAATACAAATTGTACAAACTCTATATAAGAAGTTCATGTATCAATTTTCATAAGGCTAAAATCTGAGAAGGAACTCATTTTGTCAGCATACATCACATATTTTGATAACACTGTTCGAGACATCAAACTGGCTAGGACAAGCACTTTTCTCTTCAACAACGGGTAATAGTCTCAGATTGGACCATTTCGACTCTTATTATTATCTCTCTTTCTCCAGCCAGCTTGTTCGTCCCACTAAACAACTGACCTTCTTCGCTTTCTTTGGTTTGGGCGGCGGCTCTTCTCCTCCGGGGAGCTTGTAAAAGCCTGCCATGCCAATGCCTTTCACCTGTGGAATGCAGAATGCTCAAAAGTTTAGTTTGAATAAAGAGAAGAACATTGACACTTTTAAAAGTCTTATAAAGCTAGGAAAAAGCAAGATAGACAGACAAAAAGGATACAGGGGGAAAAAAAAGGAAAGAGGGCCTACCAGAGGCGCCCTCCAACAGCTTGGTAAGCATAAAGCAGACTAACATGTCAGTAAAAGAAACTTGTCGAGAACAGGAAAACATACGAACATTTTTAAAAAGGAAGCAAGTTACACAAGAACAGAATACACATGAACCATCCCCAAAAGATGTAAAAACTTCTAAAGTTCCTATCAAAAGCAAGGACACCGAAACATGAAATACCACAAACATGGATTTGAGAAAATAACAGAACATTTACAAAATTAAATTTATATAACGAAAAGACAGATGATAGACACAACTAAAATGAGACTGAAGAGAAAAACAAGAAAATGACAAGTTCTTCTCAGAGAAAATAACAGGAATAAAACAAGGTCAGAAAACTGCAGCAGCTTATTTACCAGATCAATTTTCCCGTACTGAAGACCCATCTCCAGTGCTCTTTTCAAGACTTTGGGCTTGATGTCAATCTGGAAGGCAGGATACTTGGACCCGATGTACTGCTTCAGGGTAAAAAATCGGACACCGTGCCACTTGAAGGAAGTCAAGGACAAAAAAACTAACATCCAGGTGGAATACAAAGTGCACAAAAACGTTTGGCTTTCGTCTCAACATTTAGCTATATAATTCAACAGGCTCAGAACATAGAAAACAGACTAGTAAAATTTAAACTGTTAAAGAAAAAAACATTTTTTTCCCATCACAACTTAAACCCATCCACCATCATATTCCCAAAACTTCAGAACACTTGTAATACAAATAGGCTTTATAAGTGCCAACGATTACAGGTGTTACAACAGAGTACCATACAATGATAATACGGACGAGAGTTAAGGATAATAGATCATTAATACCACACCAGAGCACCCACCAACAATCCACTCACAGGCAGTAACACAGCGGTTAAAAATATAAAATTTTCCAAAAATCATTTTTCTAAATGTCAAAGTCCTCAAAGGATACAGGATTTCCGTAGAAATTGATGGCTTCGTGGACAGCATCCTTCATGCGAATGCCAGCCACCTTTTTCTTTTCTTGGTTCAGCTTCCGCTCTTTGATGAGGCCCTTGTACACAGAATTCTCCTTCAAGCCAAAAGCTTTTCCAAACTTTACTTTGATCATCTGAAAGAATCACAGGCACACCAAAAATTAAACCACAAATAAAACAGAGAGGAAAAAATAAGCCTATTCACTACAACAATATTTTACGGGGGGTCAAAACTATTAAAAGTGAAAATTTAAAAATTATGTATAAAGAAATGGATGTGTTCTAAGGGGTCTTAGAGTTAGAGCACACATTACTTCAAACAAAAGTTAACAGTATTAGATCAATTAAAAAGGTTTCATAATTCATAATGCTCCTTGCAGCACTTTTGTAAGTATTTTCAAGAGGTGGGGGACTGGCTCTTGGACAACCAATGGTCATATCTCATAACAAATAAAATGTCGAAACTTTTCAAGAAGCCACAAAAGTTGAGCACTAATCGTTAACAATGCTGAGAGAAAAAAGAGAGTAACTCACTATGATTTTGATTTTACATGGTGAGGAAAAAAAGGAGTGCTAACTTTTCTCCATCAGCAATTTTTATTACCAGCGCCCACATTTGTAACCTTCGAGAGGCTAAAATTTTTGTACTGCCAACCTACATGTATTTCCAAGCCAGGCATTAAATAATTCTTATCACTACCAGAGTGATCCATACACCCCACCAAAATTCAAAATTTACTAAATTGCCTACAAGTGGGCAATATCACCCTGGATGGTAAGCCCTGGTTTAAATAGATTTTAATAACAGATCGCAAAGTAGCGCTAGCTAGCAGCTGTGAGAAAATTAGGACAAAACAAGAACCCTCGATCAGCCCCACACAGCAAAACTGACCCGATTAAACGCTGGCACGTCGAGGATGTCTGAAGCATCCCCCTTACAGATCTCTGTGTAGTAGGTGTACAGCTGGGTCAGGCTCAAAGTCTCCTCCGTGCGCTGTTCCAGATTGTTGTCCAACCTGTGAGATGGGGGGTAAAAAAGGGTTTGACAGAAAAACCACAAACAAAAGTAGACACTTAAAAAATGAATTATCAAAGCACCAAAATGGCATTTTTAATTTTACATAATATCAAGAGCAAGCATCAGTAAAATCTAATTACAGTTTATTAAGGGCTAAATATCAAATTCAAACATACGGTCAAACCAGCCCAAGATGACTAGCCATTGTCAAAGAAAAAAGAGGTCAAAGAATCTTCGCTAGGTGGGTCCTCTTGGATAGTATCATTTATGATCCAAATTAATGGGAACTGAGGAAGAGGTTGCTTGTACAGTTCACTGTCTTGGACAGGCTGTCGTTAAAGCAGCCAACATTGTCATAGCATTAGCAGTTATCGAGTAAAACATATCCTTCCATATATATTTTTTTTATTTTATTAATTACTCAATTCGCCATATAAAGGGAAAATATGAATTTTAAAAAGACAGGCAAGAAAAATATTACGAAAAAATCACATCAGCTGACTGAGATATAACTAGTGATCATCTTTACAAAATATGGAGCCAAAAGATCGAGCCTGGCTTATTTATAAAAACTTCCCCCCCCCAAACCCAACAGAAATCATTAATTACTCTCAAAATATCAAAAACTTCCGTCACCGTCCAAACCCTCACCATTCTGTAAGCTTGAGCTCGGCCGGGGGGATAAACCTCTTGCGTTTCTCCAGCAGCACTTCCCCGTCCAGTCCCTTCAGCATGCCTCCTTGACCCTGGGCCGGCCGTTTTCTGGGCTTCGGGACCGGAGCATCGAGCGCATCGTCTCTGTTGGCTCCCCCGTCACCCAGCTCCCGGTCCTCGTCCCCAATGTCCTCACCGTCGTCGGGAACATCCCGCGCTGTCTGGTCGTTATGACTGGCCTTTATCCATTTCTTCTTGATGCCAGGCATCGCCAAGCCAAGCGCAGACCTTTATATCGTGAACGGGACACAACTCGTAACTAGGAGAATCAATCTGAAGGAAAATTGGAAAGACCTGTATTAGAAATACGACGAGAGCAGGAGTGACAGGCATGATGGCTAAGATAGCATCAAGGAAAGGGAGTAAATCAGTCTGGTGAACATGAGTCAAATTGTTTCATGAAGATTTCTTTAAAAATTAAAAGCGTCTGGTCATTTATATTGAACTTATTGTCACGGCTTGTCAACTATTACATAATCTTTACCTTTTCCACCCAAATTTTTTAAAAATCTAAATGTAAATTTTTACTTTCACTCGCGCACACAGATGCACTGCTTCGGGGGTCAAACTGCAGTATTGTTTGCTGTAGATTACACAAAAAGCCACTAAAACTGTCACAAATCAATTACTTACAAGGAAATTTCATACTTTTATCTGTAAAATATAAAAAAATATGGGTTTAACCCCCCCCCGGTTGGTCCAAAGCGCAAATTACTACGCTGTTATTTTATAGCTCAATAAGAACAATCAAACATTTTTAAAAATGTTGATTTGCGACAGAAATGAAGTTGATATTCAAGTTCAGCGCATCAATATTTAGTAGAAAATGGACAACTGGTACCTAGCTAGATCTAGATTCTAAGTGTGAGACGGGAGGGAAGGTAAAAGAATAGGCCCCTACCTTATATAATAATTTATCACAATCAAGTTGAGGATTAATTGTGCTCTAATAACTCTAATTAACTCCTTGCCAGTAAATGGAATAAAGTAGGAATATGGTGAGCTTAGGGAATTTCATGCATTTGGGGGTTTTGCTTTTAGTGGATATTCAAAAAGGTTAAATAAAAAATTGACGAGTTCGATCCAAAACAAGCAACCTTGGTCAACTTCAAGAATGGGGGCCAATCTGCGCAGTGCATTATGAACTGCAGCAAGCAAAACATTTGGGCCTGTCCCTGTGTCCACGTTTGGCTGCACCACTAGATCTAGTTCTATTTTGCACCAAGCGTTCCCAAATATTTTGCTTGAATTGATATGTCAGAAATAAATAGCTTTACAAAAGGTCAACAACACAACAAAAAACAATTCCACTGTAAAAAAAATTCAAATGCATGCATCCTGATCTTCTCAGAGTGCAGAATTTACCCAGCATGTGGACATGGAAGTCTGGAGTGTTTTACTTTTTTTCCCTCTTTTTTTCTGGACTCTGGAACAAGACTATGAAAATCTTGACTTCCATACATTACCCATACCTTTTTTTCAACATCAAGAACTGTTCTGATAGAATTCACTCAGAAAATACAAAAATATACAGTTTCAGCTCACTATTTGTGGGCGCAGTCATTACCAACGCGGCCGTTGAAATCAGTGCGTCAGTACGAATTTCGATCGCGTCCGAAAGAATGTCTTCGGACTGTCTTACAGGTATTTGTGCGAACATGAATTTAGTTTGCACGGTAAGAAATTGATGCAGATAAAACAAACCATCAAACGACTGCTTTCGAAGCACCATTTATATCAAAAAGGCATAAGTAAATCAAAAACAAATAATTTACCACAAGAATTCTGCAGCCGTCTCCACACAGTTGTCCACTAATCCCCAGATTTAGTTTTTTGAACCGGCTAACGACCGAATCTGACAAAATAAAAAACAGCGATATTTTCGCCGACTTTATAATCTTTTAATTCAGCATCTCACCAAGGCCATTGATGTTGATATAATTTACAATCCAACAATAAATGGTATTTTTATAACCTATTTCCGTGCATAATTGTCTGTTGTGAAACTTTATAAACAGCAACTAACGTGAAAGCAGTAAACTTCGGCAATTTTTCAAAATGTAGATTCAAAGATGTTTTATCAAGTGACAAACAATTAGGGGAATGGCCCCCTATCTTATTATGGTACAATCTTCTTTATAAGTTAAATAATCCCTAAACATCAT